TGACAAATAGCATCCCTGCACTGCTATATATTTCCATATAGAAAGTAGGCAAGTTAATAGCCACCTCATTTACCACTATAATTTACACCATAATAAATTGGCATCTGGATGATTTAATATACTCAATTTTTAATAGCTTGTGGAAATTATCTATTTTTTTTTCCTAGAAAAAATGGGAGCAGAAATTTCTGGATAGGAGAATTATGTCCTGAGCACTGTTCCAAAACAGAGTTTATTGCCACTCGTGCACAAGAAGGGATGCTCTGCAGGGATGAGGGTGATGAGCATGGTCAGCTTTCCTCCCGCCACCTGTATTCAATGTCACTTGTCAAATGCAATGACAGGAATATTCATTTCTYCCTATCACCACAGGACCTCTGCTTCTGGGAAGATATCAGAGTTGAAGTGAAAGGTACTGCTTATATTTACAGCATATGGGAGTCAATTTCCTCATAGAGGAAAAGACGGGAATGCAGGGAGAAACAGGCAGCTGGGATTCCTCTCCGTATTCTCATTTGCAGATAGCACTGGTGGATCTCTGMAGCAGAATTTTTCCTCACGCAACCCTAAGCTCGTACGAGGCATGAGCAATTACTGCTGTCATTCGTAACAGAATCTGGCTACTTAAAAGTAGGAAATTACTGTTCAGGACTGGCCTGAAGATGTAACTACATTTGTTAYGGCAGTAGAAACGTATTTGTTTTCTTATTGCTGTTTGTATTTCCTTTTTTAGTGGCACTGCTGTTATAACAGCATAACTAAACAGATAACTCAGTTTTAGCAATGATTCTGGCCCTCCTTAGCAATGATTTCCTCCTTGAAATAGACATTAACCTCAGTTTATGATAGATTTGTATCTACAAATGTTCATCCTGAAAAATTATACTGTGAAAAATCAACTCCTCACACTGCTAGAACCTGAAACAATAATCTTTAAAAAAAAAATCTGGCCACAGCAAACTTTGGGTATGGGTAGTGACATATGACTTTGTGGAGAATTCCTGTATGAAAAGTGCATATTATCAAAATATACACTGAAAGTTTTTATATAAATTATCTTATTTTTTAAATAAAGCATAAGCTTCCTATATAAAGTGAGTCACCCAAGATCTAGAAAGAACTATTTATATATGGCTTGCCATCATGTTTGAGTACTGCGAGGCAAGTGTATGCTACATTTTGAAAGAGAGATAAAATCATTTTCTTTTTCCATTTTTATAGGGCCATTATTGAGTGCTTCATTCATCAAAGTAGAAAGTAATTGAGAAACAAATGACAACCATTGTTATTACTCCTACAAAAGCAAATAGATGTTTACATGATTCGTCTCAGTTTTCTGATGAAATTTGCTGATTTTTTTCAGTGAATTTTTCAACGGTAAGTGCCACAGCTCTTTTTCAACCAATGCAATACAAAGAAAAAGAGCACATCTATAACAGGGCTAACAATCCGGTTGGAAGCAGTTCAAAACAAATGGAAATGTTACTAATAACTAGTTTCTTCAAACTTTAATTTTTCCTTGAGGAAAAAAAAGAGTCTCTGGAATCTATAAAGATTTCTACTTAAAGAAAAAAATAGTTAGAAGTCATCTTTTCAAATTAACTTGTGTTAACATCCCTGTCACAAAAATAAAATCACAGAAATACTTTATAGGAAAAATGCATAAGCTCATTTCACTCATGTTATCGCTCGTACAGCACTTTTCATACAGAAAGTAATATTTTTAATCGAATTTATTAACATAAATCTATCCAGATCTAACATGAAATTCCAAGTTTAATTATGTCCTCAGTGACTCTATTATTCAGCCAATTTTTATCAAGTTTGTCTTGAGGTTACAAAGTTTTATGATCCATCTGCACCTTTCTGTTTGAGATCAGTGGTCAGCAGAAGTCACACAGAGGACACACACAGTCTGGAGAAGAATGGCCCCATTCACCAGTCTACCCTGGGGCTGACCAGTTGGAAAGCAGCTTTGCAGAAAAGGCTCTTGCTGTGGTGGACAACAGACTGAAGGTGAGCCAGGAATGAGTCCTTGCAGCCAAGGAGGACAGAAGCAACCCGTGCTGCATTAGACAAAGGCTGCGAGGTCAGGGGAGGTGATCCTGGTGAGGCCACCCCTGAAGTGCTGGGTTCAGTGGTGGACATCCCACTACAAGAGACAAGGACACACTGGAGCAAGTCCAGTGATGGGTCAGAAAGAGCTGGGATTGTCTAGCATCAAGAAAAGAAGGCTTAGGAGAGTCACTGAAGTGTATAAATACCTGATGGGAGGCAGAAGGAAAGACAAGGCCAGGCTCTTCTCAGTGCTATCCAGTGAAAGCATGTGAGGCAGTGCCCCAAACTGAAATACTGCAAATTCTATTCAAACATAAGAAAAACAAAACAAAACATTTCACTGTGAAGTTCATCAGCTACTGGAAAAGCACAAAGCTAGGGAATCTCCATCCTCAGAGATATCCAAAATCCAACTGGACATGGTCCTCAGCAAGCTGCTCCTGCTCCTCCTGCTCAAAGCAGGGCAGTTGGACCAGTCTCCAGAGGCCCCTTCCATCTTTACTGATTCTGTAAAACTGTGACTCAAATTATAAGCCGGTACAAACCAGATTAGCAAACCATTATTCACAACCTTACCAATTTCGAGCTGCATGTGTGGAAATTCATGACAATTATGGGCTTGATCTGCCTCTGACTACTGATTTTAAAAAGATATAAAAAAGTACATGCTCCAAGAAGCTCAAAATTACCTCTCACCAAGGGATTCCTTTTTTATTTAGCWCAAAGGCAAAGTAGCTTCCTGCAACTTCTGAAATCTATGAGAGTGATCTCTAAGCTAAAAAATAAAGTTTAAATAGCAAATATTGCACACCAATTCATAAATAAAACATTCAGAAACAGTCACTAAGTAAATCCGAGTTTGCAAACTCAGAACTGCAATCTGCTGGCACATATTTCCAAGCAGAATATGAGTTTAAGAACAGTTATTCATGATGAGATAATCATTTCCTCCAATACATCAAAGAGTGTCAAGAATTTAGCATTTCTTCCACATATATTCTAAAATGTCTGGCTGTCTAGGATTTTTTTTTTTAAATAAACAACATGTTTGACTAAACAAATATTTGAAGCAAGTCTCCATTGCTGAGCTGTTGCTTCTTCCTAAGAATGCTTCAGGAGGTAATCCATTCAGAAATCATTTACATGGCAAGCAGCTCAGAATAAAACACTGTGCATTTTACAGCTATCACAARGCAGTATTTACATTGAAATGGCCTRCTGCTTGCTGAGCTGAGATCTGAAATAAGACTCTAGACATGCACTTTTTCTCTATGGCTTTGAACAGCCCTTTAGCAGTTTGATACTCCCCAAAACATATTCTTCAGCATTTATGAATAAACAGTCAAAAAATGTAAAAGAGAAGGTAGGCTAAGGCAGCAGAAGTCCCACACTGAGGTCACTATATGCTATGCTCCCCTTAACTGTCCACCACTACAGTTCACAATCATCATATCCAGAAGCAGGAGGAACACAAGACTCATCTGTAGCTGCAGACAGAACTTTTGACTCCCATCCTCAGGTCTATTTTCCTCTGTTTAACCCATTACTCTGAAAAATAACATGCAAATATAAGCAAACCTTTGCTCAGTAAGTTCAACTAGTTTTGGCAATAAGGCAAGAGAAACTCAGTTATTCTGTTATCATAACTGAAAGCACAAGCTTTTGTAGCCCACTTTTCTCKCTCCTTATTCCAGTCATCACTTCCAGATTTCATTTAGTTTATCTCCACCATCTCAGGGGACATCTCTAAGATACACATAGTTGTGACTGGAGAGCAAACTTGCAAAGTACTATTAGAACGAACCCTGAATGAACCTCTACATACCATCAGGTATTATTTAGGATGTCACCATGCATCTCTAGGTATGCTGTCTACATGGWCTCCGCAATATGATATATAAAAGACATATGCAGAAGGAAGAACATACTGTCTTTTTGATCTCCATAAAGGCTGAAGGAGCTGAGATTGTTCAGTCTGCAGAAGAGAAGACTTGGGGTGGATCTGATCAATATATATCAATATCTGAAGGGAGGATATCAAGAGGATGGGGCCAAACTCTTCTCAGTGTTGGCTGTGCTGTCTTAGGAGCAGAAAGGACTATGATTGGATCCAGTTGCACCCAGACTCCTCTCAGAAGGAGTTTGGAAAGCAAGGGGGTTCAATCTGAACCTTGCAACTCAACAGGAGGGTGTCCTTGGTTGTYCATAATTCCATGCGAACCCCCATGCAGTAAATGTGACATTGCCACAGAATCTCATGAAGTCGTTGTCCCTACCAATAAAACCTATTACTATTTCTTTCAAACAGTGAAACGCATTGTGTCACTCACACCTCCCCACTTGTTCTGTTAATACCTCTGTATGATATTTTTGCATGTTCCATCTCCAAACATACATCTTCCCATGAAGAAAAATTTAATTAAAATTAGCTAAACTGTATTTGTGACTTGAGCAGTAATTCAGCAGATTTGGTGCTTCAAAGATAATAAAAACTAGATCTTATCAAAACTATTGTAAAGTCAGACATATAGTATGACGTGTTCTGACATAGTTTATTGGAATATAAATATCTGCATTATGGACAGAATTTGCATATAGAGGTCTCCATTACTAGGAACCATTTAATCCATGGGAACCATGCTGTTTTCTTTAATCCTGAGTAGTTCTTCACTCAACTGACAGTCCTGCCATGGCCGTCAGCAGAGACAGGTGATTCTCGAGATAAAGAAAAGTCATGGAAAAGTCATGGAACTTTATTTCTAGGAGAAAACTTTTGGCAGTTAGTGACCTAATACAGAAGCACAGACCCCACCAGCAAAAATCAGGTTCATGATCTAACACACACACACAAGTAGATAAATAAGAACTTCCCTTTTGAAACACAGATTACCAAAGCTTTAAAAGCTTTACATAAGGCAGTTTTAGACAAGCAATAAACTCACAGGAAGAATGGATACTTGGAAAGCTTTTTCTGCCTTCAGACACCAGATCTGGATCACCTGTGCAGTGCATTTCAGAGTTCATTACTCCATCTGGAAAGCAGCGGTAAAAGAAATCGGGACGCGGTCTACAAAAAACACCATGGATATTAAAAATACAAAAGCTGTATTAACAAATAAACCTCAAAGTGATTATTATATTTATTACCTATTACAAAGACATTTCATTCCCTCCTACTTACACAACACACCAGTAAATATAATGCTTTGCTTGCCTTCAATAATCAATTCAAGTGAGACTCTTTTTAGTGGGCTGCCTCTCTTGGGAAAACTTCCCATATAGCACTAAGGRAAGCTGGAGCCAAACTCTCCTCACAGGGTGTTTAATTCCAAGGAACACACAGGAGCTTAGTACTGATAACAAATCTGCAGGGTTATTCAAGCACAGTACTTCCAGCTATGGACCAAATTAGTGTGATTGCCCCACAACATAGCACAGACCTTGCTGACAAACCCAGTTGAAAATAAACCCACATTTTATTTGGGTTGAAAATAAAYGCAATAAACCAAACTAAGATATTGGTTTCAAAAAGCCTACTAAACTGTCATCCCAGTCTTGAAGCTGATTCTTTAACTGCATCGAACAAGACTCTCAGTTGTTTTTGACCCTGTTTTGATTTTAATGCAAACATGTAGGTCTGAGTGGGGTCACACCAGTTGCTTTGGGCTGCAGGAGGAATGAGTTCACTTCTGCACACGAAAGACGATGCAAACATCCTTAGTTATATTTCAAAACCACTTAAAAATATAACTGCCAAGTAATACAACTGTCAGGGGAGCAGTACTGTGGCAGAGAACACCCAAAAACAAGCAAAAATTGCTGCAGAGCACGTGAACCCCCCCAAAAATGTGTGTATGACCCAGCTAAATGATGTATGGATTCAAGCCACTTATATCCTTCTCAGGTGAAATTACAGCAATTCAAAATATGGATTTAAAACAAAGAATCCCGCAAATTCTTAAAATAATTATTTTTCCAGAAAACTCTACTTGCTAGCATTTTGTCAGACCCTTTGTTCAAATTTATGCTTCCATAAAAATACCTAGCAGCACTCTCAATGTTTAGCTCCGAAGTTTGTCTTGCCACAGACCTTGATGTTACCTGGAAATACCATATTCAGCAATATACTTCACTAAAGGCAGACACTTTGTCAAATAAAGACTGAATTGATTCCTCTTTCATCAGTGTAGTGGCAATTGGCACAGGAATGCCCACGCTCTGTGATGATTCCCTCTGGTGCTGCTGAGGAAAGGAGCCAGTTTCAATTCACACCTTCCCCTTCGAGCTCCTCTTGTTTGCCTGGGCTGCCAACCAGCCAGTCAAACAAATARCAGAATGCCAGGGAACAGATTCCTGCTGCAATCAGATGTCACATAATAAAGTTGTGCAATATCTGAAGCAGAGACAGGGGTCTGCTGCATTACAGGGGTCCCTGCTAGTCCCATGTGTTTTGGAGCAGTGTTTTTGTTGTTGTTGTTGTTTTTGTTGTTTTTTTTTTAAAAATCGCTCTATTAAAAACCACTGTAATTGTCAACTGTGTCACCTACATTTCTTTAACAGTTAACAAGACTTACCTTCCCACTATTAGTTTGATAGTATTTGTGCAGACTCCRTTCAGAGCTAGCGCCAGGGAGACAGCTACAAAACAGAATGAACAAACAGAACAATAATAACCAAATTACCAAGTTCTAAATTGTAGCATTACCGCATTTGATTTGCAGGCTGGAACTTTTACTGAACTGAAAATGAATCTTTCAGTACAACAAAAGATTTTTGCAGCCTATTGTTTTTTTTATTACTCTGACTAAGGGCAAGCCCCAAAGCAGTCTCACAACCACACAACCAATCTTGTTCTGCTTTTMCTCTTGAGAAATCTTATTTCCTTACGCAAAATGGGCTTTTTTGTCATATCGCTTACAGAGACATAAATAATCCAAAGGCAGAAAGCATTACTGAATCGAGTTGTGTGCTTATCAGCTTTGCAGTTTACAACATAAAAGTCTTACAGTCTTTGGGACAAGGAGAATTCTTGTATAGACATATGTAGGATACACATGGGTATATATGTACACACTCGGTTAAACTGTCCAATTTCAAACAGAAGAACTGCTCTTAAGCTGAAATTAGAATTAGTTTTTTTAAATTCTATTTTAAAAAGGACATAGAAGTTTTGACTAAAAATCTTGACATTTCCCCCTACTGTCTCTCAAGACGTTGACCAACCTTCAAAATAACATTGGAGAAATAAATAGAAATTATTTCATTTTCATCTTACCATCCTGGGTATGACTATCACCTTTATAATTTAGATACCAAGTCCTTTCTCCTGTGACTGTGAAGATTTCTGCCTTGATTCAGTAGAATTCAGATCCATATATTGCTTTTATATTGAAATTGATTTAATGTTTCAATCCAGGTTGGAGTTCCCTAAAACAATGCAAGAACTCCTACATTTTATTTCTTAATGGAAAAAAAAAAAAAAAAAGGGCAAATCTCTGATTTCCAGCAGAACAGTTTCAGTATGATATCTTTGGATTATGACAGCTACATTGCCTATTTTCTCATTGAACCGTTGGACTGCTGCCCCATCGCTGTGCTTCGGGAGCGCTTATCCTGTCTCCATAAAATTTTGCCTGAGGATATTATAGATCATAAAAAAGGATGTGTGTGTCACAGGATATATTTTTAAGTTAAAGAAGAAGATCCWACACCGAAGCAAAACCAAGGTTTTTCTCAGATTTTATAATAGCTGCCAGCAAGAATAAAGGAACAAATCAATCCTAGGGACATTAATATTCTTCAAAAAAGTAAAGTATTCCACTTTCAACACCTCTGTTCACAGTGAGCAGTCATGTGCCTGCTCTTTCTCCTCTCAACTGTTTTTTCTCAGTTACTTTTGGTGATTGCATGCCATGACGGAACAGAAATTTTTTATAAGATAAAATGCATAAGACCATAAATGTCACAGCACAACATTCTCTTTAAGAAACGTGCTGAAATGTGTTGCAAGGTTTGCTCTTCATCAAGCTTTATCTTGATTGCTCACTGCAGGTCTCACTCAGCCGTGTTTTGACTTATGCAGCACATTCTATTCAAAGGTCCAAGCATCAAATGTCAGCATGAATGTAAGGCCTTAATCAACACAATTACTTTAGGGAAGATTCACACTTCCCACCCCAAGGCACATAACAGAGACAGGGAGGCACTTCCAGAGGAAGGATTCAGGACACTCACGTTAAGAAGGTAACTTCTTACCCYAGACACAGTGAATCACCTTCTTTAAATTAGTGGCTATATAAGGAGCAACACAGACATAGTATTTTCAACACCTTCTTATTTTAGATCCCTTATATCTATGATAAAAAACCTGCAAACAAATTAATCTTTTAGAGGACCTCCTGTTTATTCATTACAAGTTATGTGCCAGACCGCAGAATAAATTAGGAAAGTTTCATCACAGTTGATGAATTTTCACATCAACTTCATATCAAAAGACACACTAACATAGCAAATCAGATTAATGAATAGTATACTTGAACAGCATTGAGTTATGAGAAGTTTTACACTTATGCATATATTGAACAAGTGAAGTCCAGGGATACTWTGCAGAACAGAACATCAAAGCTGGGTTTCCTTAAAGTTTGAGTGGGAGAAAGTGGAGAGGCCTGGCARAGACCTGAAAATAACTTTTCTTCCTGGATATTGTTGAAGGAACCAACCAGAAGACAAAACCAGCAGTAACCATGAACAGCTTTTTAGAACAAGAAGATGATAACAAGTGATGGGAAAAATTAATCCAACTCCTTTCCTCCTGTAACAACATAAAGTGTTATGTTGTTACGGCACTGTGACTGTATGCATTTTATTAATCCAGGTAATGTATACTGAATAGACGTGTCAATATAAGATTACTCAGAGAAACCCCAGAATTTTCTACAAATGACTAGCAGCAACCAAATCAAATCCAGCAATTTTTCACACTGGTGTTAGAGCAGTTGGAGAAAAAAAAAAATAAGAACTCCTTGCCTTAAAAATATTAATAATAAAAGGCAGAGATGCTGTGACATTTATATCCAATATACCTACGGCAAAGTTGACTATCACTTTGATCTTACAATCTGAGGACCAATAAATTCAACTGCAAATTTAGACAGCAAAACAGAAAATTCCTGGAGCTGAGCATTTCAAATACTCTGCCAAAAAGCAATTGAAATTCTAAGGCTTGAAAGTTCTCTTTGTTAATAAAAGTACTTCAATCCATTTTGGACTCCAGAAATGCTGATAGAAGAATGATAGGAAATAATTTCCTAAGCAAGGAGAGCAGGGCTCCCCTATCCAATTCAGAAGTCAGAAGACTTGCACTGTAAATTTAGGCAAGTAATAGACTCGCTTGACCCAATAGTACYTGTCTGGACAGTCCACCTCAACTGGTCTTCACTTCGCTAAGCAAATTCTGGTCCTTGCTAGCTAGATTGTGGAATCAAGGTACCTAATTTGCACATTTACAACCATATACAAAAAGAAAGGCTTAGTGAGACAGGGTTAAATTATTAGCTGCACTGAAACTTACTGAACTATAAAGGAAAAGTTTTGCTCAAGGCTTAGTCAAAAGCTTAAATCTAACAATTGTAACACTTTTTCCATCTAAAAATATGTCATATATTACCTAAGAAAGCCTCTTTAATTTCAGTCTTGTCTGTTCGACGGATTATTTTCACCACAAAGATGACTGCTAGTGGTGTAAGGAATGAAATTGCCTGTAAGAAAGAAAAAAAATTTCATGTGAGTGCATCAATTCCTTTTCAATCCAACTGATTAATAATTAGTTCCAGTTAGCTCCATTTAAACTAGAAGGCTGGACGATCTTTATCAAACACTTGACCTCAAGCAGACTGAGATGATTTGTATTTGCAACTACAGGGCAGTGAATACGTTAGAATTTGTAATATAATTGTGGCCTATAATTGATTTGTAATTGCCTGGAGCTGCATCTAAAATGTCAGCCTCAAAAATAAAAAAAAAGCAATAGTTTATAAATAACCTGAATCACTTATTGCCTATTCTTCTTTACAAAGTTTTCTAGCAGCATTTATCCCTTTTTTTCTTTYTCTKTCTCACCAAAGAGGCAGAGAACAGTTACAGCACGATATTCAACACTCGTTTGCAAGTTCTGATAATAAGGATAATTCTACTCATTTTGTGAAATTTCACATGGACAGTATTGGATAAAGCCCTTTCTTTGTAAGCCAAGTATCACAAAAAAAAAAAAAATGCTGAAAACTTACTTTTCCAGTCAAATATACCTTCCTTGCACCAAATATATCTTCCTATCCTCAGGAAAATCAATTTGATCACTCAAAGAATAAGATTTCATTCAGTCATGAAAAGGAAGTCATATCAGTCCCCAATACATAAAGCCATCAATTACTACAGTCTTTTATATGGAACTATCTTGAATGAAAATCATGGTGAATTAGGATCTCTACGTAAGACTGTCAAAAAGCAACACACCACCTTGGAAGAGAACTGGAAATATATGCAAGAGAGACTACACAAAGAAACGACCAAGTTCCTATTTCATTTTTTTTCTTTTTTCTTTTTTTTCCCCTTTCCCTGTATAAATTTTTGACCAAAAAAACCCAAAGAACAAATATACATATTTTTAACTATGCTCTCAGTGCTATTTTAGCACAAATCTATCTGTTGTCTCCCAGCTGCCATAAGCCAGGGGACCACAGGTYAATTCACAAGCTAAGGAAGCAAGTAATCAGAAATGTATTGATTTATGATGTACTATTGATGTATGATYGATACAAAATTGATCATGTATGACTGAGACACAAAAGTTATCATCCAAGGGATTTTCTACATTTTCTCACGCTAAGCAGTGCTCCAGAAGGCAGCCCAAACAGGCTGTGCTCTCAACAGGACCCATTCAACAGAGCAGATCCCAGCCCAACTTCCTGACATTTTGGAAAGTTATTTATTTTACTTTATCTTTTCAGCTGCCACTTGACGCCTTGAGCTAACTTTAGAAAGAGCTTCAGAAGATTAGGTCTTTATATACAAGTGTTTGGGATKGGAGACAACTGTCTATAGTTGTCTATAGTACATAGCACATACAAGTACTTTCATTTCTGCAGTACTTTCATTTCATTTTTCATTTCTCTGTYCTCAGCAACAGTTTAATTTCTGCTTTTATAGACTAAGACAGTAAAGAACGGTTAAAGCAAACCTAGAATTATTATTATCATTCTAAAAAGAAACGATTGCTGCCAGGAAAGAAAGATATTTGCATTCCATTCCTGAAGAACGTTAAGAAATACAGCCAGGCTGACTGTCTTATAGAGGTGGTTTAATGGAGTTCGAAATTTTTCAAGTAAGCAGAAGCAGCAAAAAATCTCAGGAATAGAATTCTGGTGGCAACTTTTGTCAAAATGCTCCACAATTAGTCTTCAGAAATCTGATAAAACTGCAGATATTGTCATATTCCACAAGCACGTCTGCCGTATGTTTATTGCTATTCCATACTGCAAAGCTCTAGCTAGAAGGTGTGTGGGGTTTTTGTTTTTATTTTGTAATAAAATGCACATATAAAGCAAATCTGACTTGTAAAAGACTTTCTTCTTTTGAAAAGGATTTTGAACAGCTCACATGCGTAACAGATTTGTCTGCACTATCCTCAGATTCATCCCAACAACGTTTTACTTTTCTGCCTTATTTTGGTGACAGAAGTGTCTCTCATCCATTATTAATCCTGGAAAGCCAGAGATGCACTGAAGTTACACACACCCCACAGAGAAGCACCTTCTCTCCTCTCCATCTACTTTGGCAAAATCTATTTCCAAACATGATATAATTTGTATGGAGAATAATACTGAAAGTCAGTATTGAAATTCTTAATACTGTGTCCCCATAATAATTCTGTGTTACTTCAGAATCTGCCCATATTTTTTAATAGCTTAAAGTTGGGTTCTGCCTTTCCTCTGAGCTGTCCTCACAGTAGTGTGCAAGAAAGAATCAGGCTGAAATTATAATATATGCTATGTGCCCATAGCAGTTGACACACTCTTTACCCCATTGGGGAAACCACGGGGTGATGAGTACACACAAAAATTCCCCCCAGAAGACAGTCCACCATTTGAACGTTATTTCTTACCTCCAATATCTATGTTGCACAGACACTGTCAAATAATTGGACTGGTGTAAAGAAAGCATAAGCTGTTTATTCCATATGCCTGAGTATTTTCTGGGACAAGGATTCCCACAAAGCAGCATGTGTTCAAGAGAAGCTGACAGTTCCCTGTACTTCCCAAAATGAGGAATATCTGCTGCTACAGAGGTGGAACGAGGCTAGARTTTTTCCAGTCCTCATGGCTTGCTTATTACTCACATATACCTCAATTTTGTCTAATTTGGATCAGATGCTGGAATACTCAGTATAAATAAATCCAGCAGGTCATAAATAAATTCCCAGAGACACCTTTTTGGTAAGCCACAGCCATATATTTTAACACTGGAGTAAAGTGCTAGTTGCAAGTAATTCTTTAGATGATGAAATGTAGTGATCAGCGCTTAGGTTGGACTTTTTCTTTTAATTCAATTAAAGAAATATAAACAAATCATTTACAAGTTTTCTGTGKTTCTTAATTTAAGAACCTGCTTGCTGGGTTACTGAAATGCTGTGTTCTGAGCCAAAAAGAAAACGCAGATTGCACAAAGTTACTGACTCGGAGCCATCTGCCGTAACGCACACTGAGAACTTGCTCTGTGGGAAGTGTATAACGTGAAACGTGCTATATTTACATCTCCGATTTGTGCTTCCCAGTGAATATTGCTTCGAGTGCAGAGGAAGGACTAGTGAGTTATCCCTTGCAATCTTCCCTACCTGTTTTAAAAACAGTTCCACCATTGCAGCAAACTGCTTYGTAGTGATTCACTGCTGGTTAGTGAACTCATCGGCTAGAAGCATTGATCAGACAACCCACACAGCAAAATACATCTCAGATTAGGAAATACAGGCAAATTAAACCCAGATTTATACATAGGAAAAAAAAAAAAAGGATTTTTCTTTGCTAATAGTTGTCTTCAATTTCAGAAAAAGTAAGTATTTTTTACCCATGCAGACTGAATAAGCACTCAGAGTTTCCTCTTMGTGCAATTAAAAACAGTATGCTGACTAAATTAAAAGCAGAGTTTAGATGCTCTTAAAAGGTTGGTATATATTGTTGCCTTATAAATATCCTTATGTTGTTCCTCATTTAATTAAAAATCTCCCTGGCTTTCAGCCCTGAAGATTTGAACCTTTAACAAAACAGTGAAGACAAACTACATAGGCTGATCTGCAGTTATTCTGAATTCAATCTCTTCACCCAAGAGCAAAACCCCGGCTTCATGAAGACGCTGGAAACCCACTCTGGTGTTATAGTATCAAGACCTGACCTTATCTGCCCCATTCATTCCTGAAAAACCTTCACTTTGACTGATGAAGCTTTTGCAAAGATTGAGAGACTGGATTGAGTACCTTGAGCTACAGATGCTAAATTCTTAATACTTCTGTACCAGTCTAAATTATTGCACTCTTATTACTTTCTGTAGAGCTTTAAAATGACCATCAATCATTCCTATTACCACAGGTTATCAAATCCATGGTTATGAGACAGCCAGTCTGTATATCAACTTGAAYTGAGCTGGGGAAAGCTGGAAGAAAGCTAAGCACCTCTATGATGGATTCAATAGTTCACCATGACCTCAGGACTGTTGTCTGACATAAAACAAAGGTTCCCTAAAAGGAACAATTGAAAAATCTTCTGCTGTTTATTAAATGAAAAACTGCAGCTATCAAATGACCAAAATTCTAATACTTACAAACATTAGACGCGTAGGTATGTTGTCTGATTGCACCAAAGGGTTTTTATAAAGCCAGATCTCTTCTGGCTGGATAACCCGCTGGAATGGATCCAAGAATTCTGTAAAGCTAAAAAATAAAATTAAAGTTTTTTTTTCCAAACCAAAAACTGATTAAAACAAACAAAAAAAAAACCCAACACAACAAAGCACATACACAAATCCATCAGATTTAACTTCTCCAAAGTTAATAACAGACACAKCTGCATTAATTTTCCTCATACACTGTTTTCCTGCACCACTGCTTTTTAGTATACAACCGTCATAAATATACTCTTAGAAAAAGGATTTTAAAAATTCTATCTCCCACGTTATAAAAAATATTTATAAAATTCACYCTCGAGAACTAATGGTCATTACAGATTTCCAGACAACAGAGAGAACTTTGTTTCCAAATTTTGAATAATAAATTTTACTATCTGTACTGATACACTTCAAAAGTGCAAGTCTTTTAAATATAAAATATGTGCTAACAGATGGTGTTATAATAAATATCAGATATCTGATTCCAATTAAAACCATATTTCTGATTTTTCAGATTATTCTACACTCTTTGTCTTTGTAAATTTCTAAGGAGACTTCAAAGCTACCAGTAAGTGATWATTATTATTTTATTGAATGATAACATTTTGTATTCACTTTCTATTAAATCTGATTACATGTCCATTGCTTCCTCTCACTGGTATTCTGAAAGTCTTCCAAGAAAACTGTTACAACACTATGCTGGGACATAATGTTCACACACATACACATACAAAGCTGTTGAAACTGCATAATAGTCATTTCAAGATCACTAATGAAAGAGAAAAAAAAAAACAGATGTAGAAGAAAGCAAAGCTGTATTGTGAAAAATACAGAAAAATAAGCAATTAAAAGTGATTATAACAAAAAGGGGGAAAAAAAACCCCACTCTTACACTCTTTTCTGCCCAGCAAGAGCCCAGCTGCCAATTAAAATTTCATGCCAAGACTGTGAGCAATTCTCATTTTCCTTTTTTTTCTTTTTTTCTTTTTTTCTCTTTTTTTTTTTTTTAACCAATGGGCAACTGGATACGAGTTTTTACTAGCTTGAAGGCAATTCCCGATGTACTCTATTAAACAGTCATGAGGACATACTGGTTTCTAAGCGTCTGACACTTAGTGATTTATGCTCCTTTGTCTTATCCAAGAGTACAGTCTATTACTATTCATAAATCAGCACAAAATTGTTTAAAAGGTGTAGTTTAAAAGTAATAGATGTAGTCCTTAAGGAGAAATGTTTCTAGAAATTTGCCATCATCGCTGAAAATACAAGCTCACTGCTGAAAAACCTTCATTAACATCCATGGCTGCAGGTGGGCTGCTTAGAAAGCTTTCTTCATATTGGCTCAGGAAAAGTTGGCATGAGCTTTTTGTMTTTTTTCTTTTCACTTTTGTTTTATTTTTTCTTGCATGTTTACATATTTGTCTGGCATTCTTAACATTTAACAGAAAAGACTTTAACACACCTGTGTGATAATGAGTTTTTAACACATAAGATGACTTTCGTGAACTTCCATGCTTTGGTGATAGCCTTTCAACTGGTTTTCAAGCAAGGCAAGCAGTAGCCCGGGTTGCTTAGGACATCCCAACATTAATGCCTACAAAACCCATCCTAAATAAAAACAATATTTTCTAAGGATGTAYGAACCTTCAACTTATATTACCTTCATTTCCATTTTGGCTGTCGCCAAAAGCAGTGGAAGAGGAGATATAGATAGTATAAAGAGTAGGAAAACATGCCAGAAAACTCATAATACCACTGCAGAGCATCCGTAACCTAGCACCCTTTTAGGAAGGCAGTGACGCCAACTTCCCAAATATTTAAGTGGGTAAAAGAGTCTGTCATTTGATTTCTTCACAATAATTTATAAGCAAGATCCTATTTCATCTCTTCCCAGGGTTAAGCTCTTCTGAGACGTTTTGTAATTTGTTCCCTGAAAAGTCCCACTTTCTGTGCTGCACTTGTGTGAATGCAACAGGCTATTGAGCCTTTTTCACACCGCGAGCTAAATTCTATCCCAGGGTTTCTCATAGATCTGTAATTGCTGTTTTCCATATCCTATAATTATTGAATATGCTTGMCACAAACTTCTCAAAATTGCCCAAGTGACTTGAAGTGCATTGAAGTCCCATTGGGAGCCATATTCAAAACTATTTGTGCATTTTGCTTTTGTTCTTTCATTAGATGAGCTGAGCTTTACAAATGAGCTAAACTCYTGCTTCTATTTGCAAATTAACTACATTCTCATCAAGAGTTTGAGGTATCAGTTTATAATTTTTTTAATGTTTCCTGCTTGTGATGAATATTTGTATGGACACAATTTCCAAATGCTTTTCCCGCAATAATCTTGACAGTTACAAAAAAAAATCATGTTACAGAAATACTTCCATTTCCAAGAGTCATCTAAGAGCCAAAACTAATCCACTATAATTAACAAAGCAAAAAGTAAAAACATTTTTTTTCCAACATAATAATAAGGAATCTRGCCAGAAAAAGCATTTGGCATGCTTCCAGTTTGAATGTGTCTGCCAATGTAATTTTTGAAACATAGGTACTTGAAATCTCATACGTACAAACACCTCCAGAGCCAAAACATCCTCTCCCAGAGCAGTTCACCATTCTTGTCAATATGCTCAGCATCTCCAATTGCTTCCAGTGGCACCCAAACCTGGATGATGGGGCGCTATGTGATTATGTACCCACCCAAAAGAAACCGTTGAGGATCAGAAGACACACAGAGAGCTGTATTAAGGAAGGGCATACAGCAGCTTAAACTAAACAAGAAAAATAAGCAGAAACTAAGGCATGCCATGCTAGACCATCTTCCCCTCRTGGGAATCCTTGTACTGCGTGGAATTTTTTAATCACGAGGGTATCTGAAGTTTCCCTAGAATAAAAGATGGTCTGTACTGTTACAGTCCATGGGATGAAGCTGGTATTCCCAGTCCAATTCSCAAGTACAAATGAAGTAGAAGTTGATAATCATAATTCACCATCTTCAGAAGAGGACAGTCACAGCCAGCCTTATGGAGATGTCCACAACTTGCTTTTTTTTAATTAAAGGAAAACAAATTTAAGTCTGTTTGACCACAGACTTGCTGGAAARATAAACCACAACAAGATTTCCCTTTACAAGGGAGTTGTCAGAAGGCACATGTGTTTCCCAGACAAGTTACTAACTTTCCTTGTCCCAAACCACATTATTAAGCATCATGGAACAGTGTGGCATCTAAAACATTTTGCAGAAAGGCAGTTGAAGGGAAAAAAAATTCATAAGCAGCACTGAAATGACAAAATCGGTAAATTATAAACTTCTAAAGTGATCATGGTAGAAAATCCCATTCCAAATAGAGCAGCAAGAGTAGAATAGACTGAGTCCAACACCAGTTTTGCCCTGAGAGCACCAGGTACAAGCTACCTGCAATGAAATCAGAAAGCCTTCATGTTAGGAACATCTACTGGTGCTAAAGGACTGTCACCAGCTGACAACTGTGCTCTCAGAAACCACACACACGGTATCAGTGAGGAAAGGCCAGAAGGACTTCAGTCCTGGCAATCTTGGAGACCCTGATGTCTGCTTTATTAGAAATATCCATAGCATATTATAGACTTAGAGATGGTTTCCAGCACTTCCCCCTTTTATTTGCTTTTTTTCCTCCCTGTTTTTATATTGCAAGGATYCATTTATTTTCTGGGAATTTGTCTTCTTTCTAGCAAATACTGGCTGTACCACATAGCAAGTGGCAAAAAGAAACAAGAGAAAAGGACGTTCAGCACCACGGTGCACAACAAACTTCAGATCTGACAGATGGTAAAGAACAGGTGATGGTAACAGCGAGTCTTTTACACCATGTACCTAGTGACTGCATTCCCTCTTTGCTAAGCATCCCCTGTTGGTGAGATGTGAGCCTGGCAGGGCTTCACATGTGATTCCTCCTCAGAGTAAGGGATAGATGCATCACCTCGGGTGTTGATGAACCTCTCAAACCACCACCAAGGGCTGGCTGGAAGAGTTTGTCCCTGACACCCTTTCCTGACTGCAGAATCCTGTGGGGACAAAGTCATCGATACCCCTGCAGTGGTGCCTGTGCTATCAGCACTACACTGTGTGTCTCCTTACATAGGTATTCCTCTCTTTAAATATATCCAAAGCCACCGTAATTTTCATATCATAAATCTAGCAGTAAAAGCTTTTATAGTGTATCTGCCATGCTAAATTGTGCAACCAGTTGTCCTGACACCAGAATACATTGCTGTGCGCAGCATCAGCGAGGCCAAAGCTGCCAGGGCTCTCCACAGGTTGCCCTGCATGCAAAGCATAACTTGGGGAAGAGCCTCGCGCAGCTGATCCGGGGCACCCAACTTTTGAAAGATGACCAAGTAGCAGCAGGGTGCAACATCTGTAGAGATAAGAAAATTGTATTCTGAAAGAATTTGCTTGAGGGACTTCACACAAGTGACCTTGGGTAAGCAGAAAAATACTCAGTGTTTGCACTGCCTGCTTGCACTGAACACTCCTTATTTACATCATCTCTGCTCAGATTTGAACCCCAGCCCTGCCAGAGCTTATTGCTATCTGCAACATCCTAATAGCTGCAAAAGCATTCGTATCGTTTTGCTTGTGCAGGTACCTGGAAAATAACTTGAAAACATTTGCTCTTTCTTCCACTGAGGTAGTAACGTTCAGAAAAAAAGTCGTAACTTTTTTGTGGTTCTGCTAGGGACTCTGACAAAGAGAGACGAAACGTGGAAGGCTGAAATGCTGTGTGATTGAAATGCAAAAATTCACTTTGCAGAACCGAGGCAGTGATAAGGCAGCCGTGTCTGTGGTTTATCACTCCCCTCTGCTCACCTCATAGATGTTAGAGGAGTTTCAATTTCTGAAACGCTGCTGTCTGCTTCCATTAGTGTGATGAGATCGCTTTGTGGTAGCCCAGAGGTTAACACAAGGAAAGAGATCTATCTCTTATTTAATTTCTATGGTCACTTGGGAAACTCACAGCCCCTCAGCCATCAGAAAGGAGYCGCGTATTAGAGTCCGAGTGGGTG